AAAAAAAAAACGGTAAGACATATATATATATATATATAATATATAACAAATTATATGTATTTTTCAGGTTTCCCGACAAGAAATAGATAGGATTAGCTAAACAGATTTCTCCTAACAAACGGATAAAAACAATAAAGCACAATATTCCTACGAATGGTTAGACGTCAAATGTCAACAAATTTTGCATTAGCGAAAGGAGAAATATCATTTTATGATGGAAGAAGATTGGTATCAGATCAACATTACTCTTTTCAAGATTAGTATTTAGATCTAGGTAATACCGAGTACTGAACTACACAAAGCGGGAAATGCATAACTAATACAAGTATTGTTCTATGGAACGAGAAGGAAGCAGTCAAAAAATGCTTATATAGGAAGATTAGGATTTTCCATGATCAGATATATGCAAATCATATTATTATAGATAAGCTTACTTGTTTTTAACAAAGGAAATGAAACAATACGACAACAAATTGTGAATTTGTTAAACTGCATCCGATGGGTAGCGATATTATTATTGAGATAGAAATCGTCAGGAAATTTGATAAGGATTCGTAGTCAAGAAGATACTCAAAATCAAGTAGTTATGATTGTAAAATTGTAAAATTCCAGCATATTTTTGATAATCTACAACGAGAATTTAAATGCCAACTCAATATACTATACAAAAGAAGCGGCCGAGATCGAAATACCCTATTATTATTAACTGAATTGTTATGGACGAATGTGACATAACAGAATTATTATTAATTGAATGTGACACAACAAAACTAGTGACGCATGAGAAATTGATCGGTGTTGGTGTGTTTTTATAGTGGCTATTATGCTAATCGCAATATCAAAATGAAATTTGATTCAATTCGATATTTAATTTTTAATTTTGACAATCACGGTGTCAAGAATTAAATGTGAAAAATTCAGAACCAGAAATTATTCAATTCAGGCAGGCATTGTTTGTTCTTGTTTCAAAATCATCATGAAAAACAAAATTATTATGAAAAACTTGTTTCAAAATCACTATGAAAAACTTCAAAATTCATTATTTAGTGAGAGTAAAATCTATGACAAATGGAATCGTTTGCAGCGGTAAACAATATGTGTTATGAAGAGTATATTGTGAATTTAAAAATTTTTAAATACAATTTAAAGCTAATGTACTCAATAATTATAAAATGGTACTTCATTAAATACTTGAACTAAGCTCATGTTGCGAAAAATTTGGTTTTCTTTTTTCCTAACAAATAAAACTCGGTTACCTTGCTTCTTTTATTGAAAGGAAACTAGTTTCCCACTTTTAGTTAAAAGAAACTGTTTTATTATGATTGAATAATCAATGGATAGGTGAGGAGGATCTGTTGATCATTTTGATGTAGCTGAAGAGTAGAAATACAGATAGTATTTATTAATTAAATAGAAATTAGCGCGAATGAGACATAATCGTTACTTCAATCCCGACGAATAGACTGGAATGAATTGCTGGAGGATAAAACGGAAACAGAGCTAAGTATGGTTGGATCGTTGGATTAAGTGAAGTAGTGAAGATTCCTTTAAAGGAATGGATACGTATTTCCCCCTTTTGTCAACAGTGCCGTCCTATTTCAAATCCTAGTTAATTTATATTTAGAATAAGAAGGTATAGATTGCAAAACCAATATATTACATTAAAAATTCTCAGATAAAGGAATTGTAAGACAGAGGAATGCGATGCTTAACAGAAGTCTAGAAATGTACCATTGGATACAACCACTGTTATCTGATTAGAGACCTCTACAGTATGCCCATCAATGTGTATAAGCTGGGTTGTCATCCAGTTGTTCACTAAGGACCAAAGATT